CAACTACATGGGCAAATCTATGCAGTTCTTCTGACATTTTTGGAAATAATTTTTCCTTCTTTCTAGGATTTAGAGCAAATAATTGACCCCAAATCACTCAGTTGCTTCCCTGCCTAAAGCAAGATTAGAAATCCACAGTGCTTTTAGCAATTGCACTACACAGATTCTCATCTTTGTTGGATGAGGTTTCCTTTAGCTCGAATCCTACTCAGGGAAGTTGTGTTCTTCCTTTATCACTGGACTGCCATCTTTGGGCCTTGAAACCTGTATGTTATTTTACTTCACAGTCTGTCAGAGACTTTTGGTTACTTAGATGATATATATGAAAAAATAGCACTTACCTTTTTTCCGGTATAAATAGGAACAGTACAGAGTGAGTAATTGGGCAGTTTTGAAAACTGCCCCAAAGCTGAAACTTTATTTTAAAAAAATTGGGAGTGGTGATATTCAGAAATAATCTGAAACTGCAGCTAATTGTAAGGCACAAAGAACCAGGTCCAAAAGTGAAGAGTTCAAATTTACTGATTTATTGCTTAAGCTCTGCACAGGAATCTTCTCAGCCCCTTGGTAAAGCTAAGACTAAACTGATTCTTGTTGGACTCCTTCCCTTGGCTCTGCCCATCTCCTACATCACTTCTTCCTCAAAACAGCCCTCCCTTTCTTCCATAGGATCTTCAAAACAGCCCTCCCCTTCTTCCATGGCATCTTCCTCATCTGACTTCTCACAGGAACTTGGGAGGGGAGGAAGTGAAGCCATTTCAAAGGAGGCTTCCTTCCCTTCATCTAAAAAATACTTTGAAGCAGGTGATTCTGGCTATAAAACATCTAGATAACTGGCAGGTTTCTCGTTTCTGTTTGGAAGTGAAGGTTGGACTGTCCAGTGTCACACGGGGGGTATGCAGCCAAGGTGGCGCAGTGGTTAGGGTGCAGTACTGCAGGCCACTTCAGCTGACTCTTACCTGCAGTTCAGCGGTTCTAATCTCACCGGCTCAAGGTTGACTCAGCCTTCCATCCTTCCAAGGTGGGTGAAATGAGACCCAGACTGTGGGGGCGATATGCTGACTCTGTAAACCGCTTAGAGAGGGCTGAAAGCCCTATGAAGCGGTATATGAGTCTAACTGCTATTGCTAACTGCTATGCACTCAGTCTGGTTAATCCTTCAATTACAGATTCTTTGGGTAGGGCAGGGCAGAGAGCTAGGTGTTTGGAAGTTCATGGCTTTTCGGGAAAGTATTGGTGGAATTGCTGCACCAAGCCAGGGACATGGACATACCTGCATCAAATACTGTGTGCTTTTGCCCCTTTGCCTAGGGTCCAGAATTTCTTCTATTTCATATTCCTCCCCCGCTTTCCATAATTACTGGCAGTGGCATTGGGTGCTATGAGCATAAGATTCTAGGAGGTTTTTGTTTGACAAGCAGAGAATGGTGGAAAACTGGGTGGACTTTCACGGAGGGTTGCAATTGCAAATGAAAGGCCACAGGATTGATCTGCCAGAGGACCGTAAATGCCCTCTGAACTTGGTATCCAGCTTCTTAGAGGGCCTAGGTCTAGGAGAAACAAAGAATTTGGTAAAGAGCCACACTTTGTCTCTTACTGCAATTGGCAGCCCTTTATATCAATGGGCATTTGCTGCCTTCTTGTAAGACTCTTTGTTCCAGCTGCTGTTTCAATGGGGCTTAGGTAGCCAGCTGTTCCTGCAAAATAATTAACTGCCCTTGGTATGGTGTCCTCCTCCCTCAAAGCCGCTGATAAAACCCTTGGGTATCTGCCATAGTAATCAATGTGAGCAGAGCATTATTGTAGGAAAATTCTGCTAGGGGAAGCTATGAGGGCCAATCACCTTCAATGCAGGTATGGTAACATCTTAAGTATTGCTGGAGTATCTGTTTAGTTTTCTCAGCCTTCATGGCAGAGTGACTGAGGACAAGCTAACCTGGAGATTCAAAAATTGTAACTCTGCCTTCCAGAACCCAGAATAAATTGACTGTATAAGTATGGACACCATTTGATCCAAAGAGTATTGAGCTGTTTCTTTGATATGGGCAAACATCTTCAAGGCATGAAATGAGCATTTTGGTAAAACGTTCCACTACAACTAGTATAGCTATATAGCCATGGAACAGAGGTGGGTCATATAATAAAATCCATAGAATCGTATGCTAAGGATGAGGTGGGGTTGGGAGAGGTTGTAAGAGGCCTTCTGGCTTCTGATGATGGTAACTGTAATTATAATCTTCTGCATCTGGTTCAGAGGAAGGCTATTAGAGTTCCTTTCCTGTCCTTCATTGAGAAGTTTTGGCAGGATTGTTACTCCAACTCATTCCCATTTTCTTCAGTCCAGCCCAATGGAATATTGGAAATCAATTATTTGAATGGGCTCAAGACTGCCAACAAGGTAATTCAAGTTGGTGTAGGGGAAGAAGCCAACAACAACAGAAAAATCAGGTATAGAAATGGGCTGAGTAAAAAAAATATCAAGGGGGGAAAAAAATCTCCATTACCGTATGTTCATCCATGTTGGAAAAACTGCTTGATTGTGGACTGGAATGTTCTGTGCGCCTGCATTCTGAGGCCTTCTTTCTTCTCAGGCACATGATCCAGAATGGAGCTCCTATTAAAGGGCTATTAAGAGTTCCAGAAGCTGTATTTTCTTTGTAACTTCTACCTTGTTTCTTTAAAAAAAAAACTTCAACAGAAGTGTTTTTTTGTGCCAGGAGTTGCTTAAAGCTCTCTTCTGAATACTGTGTAATTATAATCATGAGGAAAACCTTACTGTTTTGAAAAATATTTGTTGCTTCAACTCAAATGTCTATTAAAACCTTTAACCAAGCTGCAGATTTAAAATAAAATATATAAGAAGAGTTAGAGCAAGTAATAATTTTGTTCAAACCATTTTTTTCGGTGTTCATCAGGACTCAAAAAGTCTATCTTCTGAGTTGGCTGGGGCTGGGGAAGGACCAAGACAATGAGCATGATCAATACTAAAAGTATTCATTGAAGAGCCCAACTTCTCCATAGTGAGGGGAGGAGTATCCAGGATGGGTTTACCTTATCCTCTCGTTGATTGGACTGAGTCAGATAGGTTTTTGGGACACGCCCCTGGTCCACCAGGTACTGGCCAGTTATCGACTCAGTCCCTCAACTGAACGGTTTGCCATCCTGGATCTCCGATAAACTTGGAAAATTCAAAAAGCAAAAAATCAAATTGTCTCCCTACCGCAGCAGCCGCATGCGAGTTGGACAGCTCCCTGAGCTGCAAAAGAACTGCCGAAAGCCCCCAGGGTGGGACGTTGCCCAGGTCTCTGAGTGAGACAAGCATCACTCAGAAAGGAAATCTGCCGGGCAAGCAGGAGACAAAGGGCACAAGCCTTACAAAGGCAAGTCCTGCCGCAGAGGCTCCAGTGGCACCGGAGTGCTTCGCCACTCCCCACAAGGGTCGAGCGGTGAGTTGCAGCTTTCTCATGCACCGCGGAGCGCTTGCGCTGCTTCCACATGGCCCGATTGATCGGGGCCACCGGCAGAGCCTAAAAGGAAGTGATTATTGATGCTTTATTTTTTTGCTAAAGTGAAGGGAAGAAGAAAGAATTCTCAGTCTTTTTATATTAGCTTTGAAATCAGAACTTGTGAAAGAGGTTATTTATTATGATCCTGCATCCTAGATACTTTACAAAAATTAACCATATGCATTTTTATTAGCACAATATGCAGGAGTTTTTCTCCACTTGTCAGAGGAAGAACAAAGAGACAAATTTTTCAGGGACATAAGTTTGTAGGATTTCAATTGCTCTTGCCTACATGCTGCTAAATACAAGATCCTGGCCAGAATTCCTGGTGTTTTTTTTTTTAATTGAAGCTTTCATAATGCTTTTTTCTGGTATTAATAATCTAAACTTAAATTCTATTCTGTCTTACCCAAATTACTTCCTTTATCCAATATTAATCAGTCTAAGTCAGTGTTTTTCAACCTTTTTGTGCAAAGGCACACTTTTTTCATGAAAAAAATCACGAGGCACACC